CAGAAATGTGTCCGGACCCTGCAATAGGTTACTATTGCCGGGCCACCCCAGAGAGAAAAGGGTGCTGTTCCTCCACCTACTCCTCCTTGGTGGCTCAGTGGCCGCCATCCTCCAGAGGCCATTGGACAGTCAGGCTTGGGCCTGCAGTGATGAGACATGTTGGGCATCACGGGATGGGGGTGGAGCCGGTCCTGTCCTTCCCACCCCAACAAGACCCCATGTCATCGCCCATGAACGGCCTTTCTGGCTGCTGATCAAGCTGCTTAACGGCCATGATCCCAGAGATTCAGGAGCAAATCTCGGAACCCAGCAGGTTTTGGCAGAAATCCCTCCAGATTTAAGTGTTAAAATTTTGGAATTTCAAAATCGCGCGGCCACTACTGCAGCCATGCAACATCGCATGTTATTCATAACCAGCAATAGAAAACAAATTGTCTACTGTTGCCTTTTCAGCAGATCTGAGTGTTAGGGTAAAATCCCAAATAATAATGGTGGGTCTGGTATAAAAATATTGAATGTGATCAAAGTAGAGAGAGAGTAATGTGGAAATCATCTGCCCCACAGGTAGGGGAAGGGTGTGGGATGAAGGTATACTGGGGTTTTTGGGGGTGGAGAATAGGCACTGGTGAAGGTACGGGTGTTTCATTGTATAACCGAGACTTAGCCACGAAAGCTTTGTAACTGCTCTCACGGTAATTCAATAAATAAAATTATAAAAAATGAAAAACAATATACAATGGTCATATTGAATGTCTTGAATGTATAGGGTCATGAGTTTGATCTTCACTCACATTACTTGCTGTAACCAAGTATGCAAACACTGCAAGCAAGAAGGTAAGAATGGCAACCCAAGGGTGTCACCCTTGGTGACACCATACCCTAAAGTGAAACAATGATATAGTAGAAGTGATAAAGAAAAGAAATTCCTATTTTAAAAGAAATTCACTCGTTTTAGGAACTCACTTCTATAACCTTAAAAAACTAATTCTCTTTCTCATTCTCACAGTATCTTCACCTCATCTTCCTGTCTCCTCAAATCTCTTTTAGGTTCAAGTTCTATCACTGATCCTCTGTCCAAAACTTTCTCCTAAAACCTTCAAAGAAACTTTCAGAGTTCAGAACCCCTCTTCCTTGAAAGTTGGGCTTTTTTTTTTTTGGAGGGGGGGGGCACCTTTTCCAAAACAATTTCTTGATCCAAGACAAAGAACTGTTTTTTCTTTCAGCAGTCTTCTTAAATAAAGTCTGCTCTTACTCTTCAACATATCGTAGGTTCATTAAGACAATACAAGCAAACTGCTATTGGCCTGACGATCTTAATTAAGCACTCCATCTTCTCCTTCCCAACATCTCAAGAGTTTTACCACATGGCTACAATTTCTACAGAACCTTGCCAATGTCATGTCTCCTCTTATTGTTCCTACCACTACCTATGAAAAGTCTTACATTTATCTGTCTATAGGTAAGTAAAGTAAGTAAAGGCCCTCCCGTTGATCATCGATTTGCTCGAGCGGGCCCAGTAACGTCTCCATTGGAGACTTTGTTGTTACTGTGTCTGGCATATCGAATACTCTCGGTAGCTTGCCGGGCTCTCCGAGAGGGGCGGAGGAATCGAACTCGGGTCGGCCATGTTGGCTGCGTGCAAGGCAGACGCCCTACCCGCTGTGCTATCGCTCCAGCCCATCTGTCTATAGGGCATCTCTATCAAATGTCTCACAGACATCTCAAACTATTATTTGCCCATTCTAATATATACACTCAGGCAATAATTATTGTTAGAAAAGATGGTTTCTTTAAAGACCATCCAAACCATCACAATCAGAAATAAACTTTAAAAGATTTCTATGAACTTCTTAAGACATTTAATTCTTTTCTAGCATAAATTGTAAATTCATTCTTTGCAAACAATTCTTGGAGGGTAACAATTGATCATAATAACCCTAAATTCTCAATCTTGAGCAGAATTCATTGTCTCATGCTGGGGTGGGGGGAGAGGAAAGCATTAATTTACTATATAGGTTCTGGAGTGATGTTGGGATGCGGGGGGCGGGGAAAGCATTAATTTACTATATAGGTTCTGGAGTGATATAGTAAAGTTGTCCCGTCAGATTGATTCAGAAGAAAGAAAATATGAAAGGTTAAGAAGAATTTATCTTTTTGGTAGAGTGAAAACAGTATCTGAATGTGTATTTCTGTACAGTTTCATTAAGTACCCCACTTTTTTTAAAATAAGAAAAAATTTCCAGCAGTATATAACAACTTTTCTTTATGGGGGGTATGTGCGTGGGGGGTGGGGGTCTGGGTCTGGGGATCAAACCCAGAACTTCCCATATCTACAGCATGTGGCTTAACCACTGAGGCACATATTCACCATTCTTTGTTTTATTAGGGTGATTTCACAGCATTCACTGTAAAGCTAAGATAAAATATTAAGTCACTGTCACTGTCCTCCTGTTCTTCATCAATTTGCTCAAGTGGGCCCAGTAACGTCTCCATTGTGAGACTTGTTGTTACTGTGTTTGGCATATTTAATATGTCATAGGTAGCTTGCCAGACTTTGCTGTGCGGGCGAGATACTCTCGGTAGTTTGCCGGGTTCTCCAATAGGGGCAGAGGAATCGAACTCGGGTCGGCCGTGTCCAAGGCAAACACCCTACCCGCTGTGCTACTGCTCCAGCCCAAAATATTAAGTATTTTTCAAAACAGACATTCACTGTACTTGTTTACCCTCTTCTCAAAGACTTCCCTTAAATGTCAAGACTATTTAAAATAAGTAAGCAACACTGAACAGCAGTAAGGAAGAATTCACTGAGTAAAACAGATAATAATTTGGGGGGAAAAGTTTGACATGCTGAAGGAACAATTAATAGTCATCCTAAGAAAGGATTATGTGAGGGTGAGGGCAGATTGTGGTGGGGATTTCCACTAAACCAAACAAAACTTTACATTTAGAAGATCTGATTTTTTTTTGGAGGGGGGGGATGATGCCACACCCAGCATGTTCAGGGGCTACTCCTGGCTCTGCACTTAGGAATTAGTCCTGGCAGGCTTGAGGGACATACAGGATGCTGGGGACCACCACATGCAGGGTAAAAGCCCTACTCACTGTACTATCACTCTGACCCCCTTGTTTGTTCTTTACCTTCATGAGAGTTAAATGAGCTAACATTTATAAAGCAATAAGACAGAGTCTGGCATGTAAGCTATGTAAGTAAACAAAAATAAGGACACTTTGTAAGGAGGCTTCAGTAAATGAATCCAAATACAATCCAGTAAATCATGAAACAAACAGTTCTCAGGTATTTTCTCCCTAGGACATTACAATATCTAGCATTTAATAATAAATTCCATTGTAAGAATGCAGTAAATATATGAAACTCCATGATATTACTTGGGAAGGCACAGGAAAAAAGATAAGCCCAAAAAGGTAGATTAAAGACCATAACAGTGCCTTAAACCAAATAACAAATTTTAGAAAAAGAACGTAAATACTTATGAGGATCTATAGTCCCTAATACAAGCACAGGCATTATTTAAAAGCTTTAAAAGAAAAAAAAGGTTCAGAAACAAGTGTCACTAAAGGGCTAATTGCTAATTATAGCTGCTAAATCATTAGTTACAACTCCCATGTACATATGCAATAATTATATAGGATCAGTAGGCACATATATCACAACTAAAAATTAGTATTTAGGTACACAGGCTCTGTCATTTAATTTTTCTCAGCAAAAATAATCTAAAATTTAACAGAACTCTCTCTTCCCTCTCTCCCTTTCCTTCTCTTTTTCTTCTCCTCCTCTCTCCCCTTCTCCCCTCACCCCTTTCCTTCACTCTCTCACAAGTGTCCAGGATGGATGGATCGAATAGAGCCCCAAACCCTGGACAGATACCCAAGTACAGGCAGCCCGGAGAGGCGCAGAACACAGGCAGGGCTCAGACGCCCAGGAAATTTCAGATTCAGCAGAACCTGGACACCCAGGTAGTGACAACATGCTGTAAAATAAACTCTTTAACCTTCAAAAGTAAAATAATATAATACAAAATTCTTAAAACACTGCAGTAAGTGGTGAAACTAGAACTAGAAATCAAGAGGCATCATGAATCTAAGGACTTTATGAAGGAAATCTGCACCCCAAATGTCAATGAACTTACCCTAATTCATATGTACTTAGAAAAAAACAAAAATCTTAAGTGGTCTATCACTTGTCCTATGCCTTTGCTCCAAACCAGTGAGAAATGATGCAAGAGTCAATTAATGCAACAAGAAAAGACAGTGAATGTATACAAAGGGTAAAAGTAAAGTAAAGCAGAAGAAATTCTGTTTTCAACTCCATTGAGTATAATGACATTTAATTATTACATGCTTTTCTGAAAAGTTGAGGGTCTGCTGTTGTTGGCAGTATTATGTATGCATATGTACTCATAGTACAAAAATCTTTAGTCTCTGATTTCACAGAATTAAACATAATTATAAATAGTATATACTTATTTATCTAAGATAAATGCTATAAGACAACTTTTCTTTGATGCTATATTAAGCTTGCTTTCCCAATATTTAAATCTTACACTGGTCCTACAAAATTCTTCCTGTAACTTCCTTCCTTTCTAACACTCCTACTTAAGAAAATAAAATTATTCTTCTCCATCCTGTCAGTAGATGAACTATTCAGAAGCTCTAGAAGCACATAAGGTACACAGATGCTTAAATTTTTGATTTACCTTAGTACTGAAAACAAATGTGGAAATTCTTAAAAATCTGATCCACTTATCTTTTTATTAACATATTCTTGATATGATTGTATTAATGATCCTAATAGAATTAAATTCTTCATAAAACTAATAATATATATTATCACTGAATAAATCATCAGAATCTTAGTGATCTCTGTTTGGGAATTCTTTCATTTAATTGCAAAACTATCACAGGAATTCAGAGTATATAAAAACTGTTTCTAGAAGAATAAGTTTTACCAATATTTGGTACACACTTTCTATTACACCTACCTTCTCACCACTCGAGTAGAAGAAATAGCGCAATCGGACTATGTTACAGTGATCTAGTTTTCTCATGATTTGAAGCTCGCGGTTCTAAAAAGAAGAAACACATGAAAATATTTTAAACAGGATAACTGTTATTCATCATAATGACGAAAATGCTTCTGCAACAACATTAAACACTACAAAGAACAGGCTATAAATACGGTAATACAGGTAGGATTCACACACTAGAGGTAAAAAGCAAACTATTTGTTATTAGTCTATGAACTATATATTACTACTGTACAGTGAGAAAAATATAGAAACTTAAAATAAATGTCTGGCAATTAAACAGCAACTGATATAATAAACAGCAATTTACATGAATGATTCTTATAATAAAAAGTGGCCCATATTTTGCATTTAAAATTTTTTAGTTTTCGAGGCGCAGTAGCAAAGAGGGTAGGGCGTTTGCCTTGCACATGGCCGACCCGGGGTTCGATTCCTCCATTCCTCTCATAGAGCCCGGCAAGTTACCAAGAGTATCCCACTCGCATGGCAGAGCCTGGCAAGCTCCCCGTGGTGTATTCGATATGCCAAAAACAGTAACAAGTCTCACAATGAAGACGTTAGTAGTGCCCGCTCGAGCAAATCAATGAACACTGGGAGGACAGTGCTACAGTAATTTATGAATTGCATTTTACATAATTATTAACTCTTGAAATAACTGTGGGTTTTTTGTCTGTTTAGTTGATTGTTTGGGGGTTTGTTTTGGGGCCATACCAAGTGATGCTCAGGAAGGGTTACTCCTGGTTACACTTAGAAATTACTTCTGGTGGTGCTCCAAGCACTATATGCAATGCAGGGGAATCAAACCCAGGTCAGCTGCATGTAATGTAAGCACCCTACCTCTTCAGCCCAATCATAAAGTTTTCAGCCCAATCATAAAGTTTTAAATCTAGCATTTCACCACAAATAGTTTGAGAACTACTAGAGTCTCATAAGTAACACATACCTGAAAGTAGCTGTAAGTTTTCGCAACTACAATAAAAAGAAAATTCTCACCATACAAATGAATTTAGGCACAAAGAAATCATCACAACCCTATTTTCCAAGGTCCAGTGAAAAATCTGAGAGCTATCTCTATTAGCACAGTTAGTCGATAAGTTTCAAAGAATTAAAATAAGGCATACTAGAAACTAAATAAGGCATACTGAACTAAAATAAGGCAAACTAGAAACAACCCTGATAAATTTACTGACCACATAAATAATTTTGCTATGGGGGAGTTTCAAAGTTAGTGCTCCTTCTTCATTAAAAGAAAACATTTTTAAAAATGGCGCCTCATCATGAACCCTGAGCACTAAGCTGGGAGTAGCAACACCAGGTGTGAGGTGTGGCCATAAAAACCAAAATTATATAGCTAAACAATCATTTCATAATACAGAAAGAATATCAAAATGTCAGCTACATAGCCAGAAATTTTTTTAAAAATAGTTAAAAATGATACAGAAGAGGCACAAAACTTTAAATAGGGAAAGAGGCAAAAGAAGTTTTTTTAATGAGAAAGAGAGGTAAACAGACTACAAACAACCTTAATAAGGAGAACTATCTGGAACAATTCTCTGAAGTTAATAAAATTAGAGAAAGCAGAAATATGAGGCCAAAGTAAGAGTGAGCTTGCCTTGCACTCGTCCCAGCATACCATCTGATCCTGAGCCCCACCCAGAGTGACTGCTGAGTACAGAGCCAAGAGTAAGGCATGTACACAGTCAGGTGTGGCCCAAAATCAAAACAAACTAATGAGAGAGGAGAGAGGAGAGAGAGACAGAGAGAGAGAGAGAGAGACAGAGAAATAGAGACAGACACTGAGACCAGAAATATAGAAACTACCAATTTCAAACCTGTGTCCACTTCCATTCCAAATCAAAGCTATTTCTAATTATATCTACGATTAACCAATTAACATCTGGATAGCTAGCTTTGTGAGAGAAGAGCTAATAAGTTAAGAAGGTTAAGAGTTACTCTTCTCATAGGATACAGATATTAAGAATGACTGCTCTTACAGCTTGATTGACTGATTCACTGATAAGTTACAATTTGGTTAACATAAGATATCACTCCAGATTCATTAACCAAGGTGAAAGAAAACTACAAAATTCCCAGATTTTACAGTTTTGTCTAAAATTATGCATGCTATCTTCTATGAAAAATAATGTAGTAAGAAAAATAGCTACATGAATCTAAATATTTACCTAATCTTACTCTTCTGTTGGGCTGGAGCAATAGAACAGCGGGTAGGCGGTTGCCTTGCAAGCAGCCAACATGGCTGACCCAAGTTCGATTCCTCTGCCCCTCTCGGAGAGCCCAGCAAGCTATCAAGAGTATCTCGCCCGCACGGCAAAGCCTGGCAAGCTACCCTTGACATATCCGATATGCCAAACACAGTAACAATTGTCACAATGGAGACGGTACTGGGCCTGCTTGAGCAAATCGATGAACAACGGGAGACAGGGACAGTGACTCTTCTGTTCATATTCTATTCTTAATTTTCTCATTTTAAAATTCCCCAAATATAACAAACTACAGTACAAAATACAATAGTAATTTAAGCACTAAGCCAGTATTAGGCAAAATTCATGCCTGAGATGCATTCAAGTAGATAACTATCTCAAATGCATTTTTTAGCACATCATTCTCATAAGCGATCACAAAAAGTGTACCAATTCCACAGATAACACTATTATTCTCTACAAATAGGGGACATTTATTCTGTGCCAGGCATTATTTAGTATAATAGACGACAGTGAACAAGACTAACAAAGGTGGGGCTGGAGTGATAGCAGAGCGAGTAGGGCGTTTGCCTTGCACGTGGCCGACCTGGGTTCGATTCCCAGCATCCCATATGATCCCTAGAGCACTGCCAGGAGTAATTCCTGAGTGCAGAGCCAGGAGTAACCCCTGTGCATCACTGGGTGTGACCCAAAAAGCAAAATAAATAAATACAAATTTCCTATTTGCATAAAACTCACAATCAATGAAAGACGGCTTGAAATGAGCAATATATTTTTATGCAAAGAAAGCAAAAAATAATAGAAGCTTTATAAACTCAAGATATATGAGCGAAATCTATTACCAGAAACTGACTGACCACTAAGTTCTATAGATTAATCAATACATTCATCAGATGTCAGGCTAAAAATTTAAATTTAACACAGAATTCAGGGGTTTTCAAATGTGCAGGAGAAAGATTTTTAACCAACTTTTCCCTCTGTACTTTATTTTCCATTTTGAGGCCATACCCCAAGGTGCTCCATCAAAGAAGTTGGGGGACCCATATACTATCAGAATCAAATTTGTCCTGACACTCAAAGCATACAAATCCTGTTGCACTATCTCTCAGGCCAGAAAGATTCTAGAGATCAGATCTAGGCAAAGAACAACAACAACAAAAAAAAAACCCAAAACTTAAAACAATCTTTAGGAAAATTAATAAATGTGTGTCCAGAGTTGCCTCAAAATATCAACAGAAGATCTAGAACGATCAATTGTTTAAAAATTAATCCTGGAACTTAAAATCAAGAGAAAAAAATGCTAAGTCAAGGATATGGCATACAGTCAGATGATAAAGTAATTCTGGGGATATAATAAAAGCATGGTGACTACAGCTAAAATATACACTGTATACATGAATATTGTTAAGATAGTATCAGATCTTCAAATGTTCTTATTTCAAAAAAGAAATGGTAGAATCCTTTTCTGGTTCATAAGAATGATTACTGGGTGTTAACATACCTATGTGACATGCGCCTTCCTTAAATCTTGTTACACTTTTGGCACATTAGTTCATATGAAGTGAACTTATTAAAGTAATAGTAAATAAATATTAGCTAACACTGTAACACTGTCAAAGTAAACATTTTACAATGTATAGCACTGTCCTCCTGTTGTTCATGGATTTCCTCCAGCGGGCACCAGTAACATCTCACAACAAATTCTGATACTTGTTGCTACTTTTTTTGATATATCAAATACATCATGGGGAGCTTGTCAGGCTTAGCCATGCTGCCGAGATACTCTCAGTAGCTTGCTGGGCTCTCCGAGAGGGGGGAGGAATCGAACCCAGGTTGGCCGTGTGCAAAGCAAACGTCTTACCCGCTGTGCTATTTCAATGTTATTAACATGCATCAAATTAACATGCATTCCTTAAACTTGGGCTAGAGCGATAGCACAGCGGGTAGGGCGTTTGCCTCGCACACAGTGGACAAGCCGACCTGAGTTCGATTCCTCCACCCCTCTTGCAGAGCCAGCTAGATACCAAGAGTATCTCACCCGAACAGCAAAGCCTGGCAAGCTACCTGTGACGTTTTCGATATGCCAAACACAGTAACAAGTCTCCTAATGTTACTGGACCCGCTCGAGCAAATCAATGAACAATGGGAGGACAGTGCTACAGTGCAGTGCTACCTTAAACTTGTACAGTATTATATGCAATCATATCTGAACAAAGTTGAAAACCACTAATAAAAAAATAAGGAAACCATACTTCAAATACTTTTAAAATTACGAAGACAATTAGAACTGAAAAGATAGCTTAACAGGCTGGAACACAAGGAGGACCAAGTTTGTTCCCCAGCTTAGTGCTCTTGGTTCCCTAAGCACCACAACAGAAACAGCCCCCTGAGCCCTAACAAGTTTTGCTCACAAACCGAAGAGTGACAGAGAGTAAGCAGAAAATTTCAAGAAAAGGATAACTTTTGAAACCTTGAAACAGGCAGGAGAGATAGTACAATGTCATATACACTTGCTTTGCACACAGCCAATCCCAGTTTGATCCTGATCACCACAAATGATCTCCCCAAACCCTGCCAAAACATCCTTGAGTAGAGTCCATAGTAAGTTTTTGGTCCACACCTCAACATAGCCAGGGATAGTCAAAAACAAACCAAAAGGAAATGGAAACACTAGAGTTGAAAAACGGAACAAAATATTCACAATAAAAATAAAACTTGGGCGGGTGTAAGTAAAATTTGTAAACTTGAAAATGGACAAGTAGAAATATGTCTAAAAATGTAAAAATATGAAGGATAAAAAGTAAAAAATGCTTTAAAATAATCTGAGACCCCTTGTAAAATAACAACACATCTACTAACGAAAGTTTATATAAAGACATTATTTTTTAAAAAAGAGAAAAAATAAGCAAAAAACTTGAATAACTAAAATTCCTCCCAAAGTTGATGAAATACACTAATAACACTGAACCATGCAGCTTAATAAATCACAAGTTTACTGAACTGAAACTAATAAAAAGCCCATAACTAGGAACAGCACAAACTATAATCACACACACACACACACACACACACACAAATTCATGAAAACAGTAACAGAAAAATGACTCATCTCAAACATGAGAAATACAATTAATGATTGATGAATCAAAGTTATAAAAGCAAGATAAAATAGATATTCAAAATCTGGGAGTTGGAAAAATTAATACAGCAGGTAGGGTCCTTGCTGGGCACAGTCAACCCAGGTTTGATATCTGGCATCCCATATAATGTCTCAGCATGACCAGCTGTGACTCCTTAATGCAGAGCCATGAAAAACCCCTGAGCATCAGTGCGTATGGCCAGGGACAAAAATTCAAAATTTTCAAAGGAAAGTCAATGAAAATAAAAATACACTTAAGATTAAAGACAGACAACAGAGGTTAAGGCACTGCCTTGCATACAACCAACCTCATCTGCTCCCTGGCATTGCCAAGTGTAATCTCTGAGCACAGGGCCAGGAGTACGCTGGCCGTACTTACAAGCACCATTGGGTATGACCCAGAAACATCCCACAAAAATTAAAACAGTTAAAATATCTTTTAAGAGACAGATATATACTACACACATGCATGTACAGACACACATACAGTAATTAGTTTTCTTAAAATAGTAAAGCAAGTTTCTTAGCTGAAAGGAAATGACATTAAGTAATTTAAAATAAAGGGAGAAATAATTAGCACTCCAAAAGGTAAATACAGATGGAAAAACAAGTAAGACTGTATTTTCTTCTGTTAGCTTCATCACCGTGCACTGTAGCACTGTCCTCCCATTGTTCATAGATTTGTTTGAGTGGGCACCAGTAATGTCTCTATTGTGAGACTTGTTGTTACTGTTTTTGGCATATCGGATACACCACGGGAAGCTTGCCAGGCTCTCGGTGAGGGGCAGAGGAATCAAACCTGGGTCAGCTATGTGCAAAGCAAACGCTCTACCCGCTGTACTACACATGAGTTTATGAAATAATGGTACGAAGTATTTTTCAGTTTATGAACACAAAACATGCTACACACATCAAATAGTATAAAGAAAAGAGCAGGAAAAGAGCCATTTCAGAGAAGATTACTTAATTGTTTTTCTTTGTCTGGAGGAGTTGGGAAGAAGATGCATCAGGCAGTGTTGAAGGCTTACTCCTGACTCTGTACTCAGGGATTACTCCTGGCAGAGCTGAGGGGACCATATGGGATGCCAGGGCCAAACCCCAGGTTATCCTCATGCATCTATGTTCATGTTCATCAGGGACATTAGTCTATAATTCTCCTGATTCGTGCTGTCTTCTGTAAGCTTTTGGTTTCAGGGTAATGTTTGCTTCATAGAATCTGTTTGGGAGTATTTGTTTCTTATTTCCTGTAAAGAACTGGGGGTGGGTCTTCTTTAAAGGTTTGAAAGAACTCACTAATGAATCTATTTAGGCCAGGGCTTTTGCTTTTGAGGAAGACTTTTGATTACCATGTCAATATCCTCAATAGTAACAGGCTTATTCAGGTGTTCCTGAACAATATATATTTATAAATATATTTCTCAGTTCAGCATTGAGAGTTTACAAGAGTCAAAGAATTTATTAATTTCTTCTAGGTTCTTTTGTGTCATAGCATATAGGTTTTTAAAGTAATCTCTGATTAATCCTTTGAGTTTCAGTGCAATCTGTTGTGATGCTTTCCCTTTCATTTCTGATTTGGTTCTGTGAGTCTTGCTAGTGGTTTACCAATCGTGTTTATTTTTCCAAAGAACCAGCTTTTTAATATTTTGGATTTTTAAAAATTCCCATTTATTGTGTTATGCTCTAAATTTTCTTATTTACTTCCTACTGCCTGCTTTGGGCTTCTTTTGTTGGTGCTTTTCCAGTTTCTAACGCTGTGCAGTTAGGCTATTTATGTGGGCTGTGGACCCTTTCTACCTGAAAGCTATGAACTTCCACTCAATACAATTTTTGCTGAGTCCCAGAGTTCTGGCAGCTCATGTCCTCATAATCGTTGGTTTTCAGAAATCCTTTGATTTCCTCTCCGACCCACCGGCTGTTCAGTAGTAAGCTGTTTAATTGCCAGGTGGCTGAGTTATTTCCCCATTTCTTTTTGTGGTTAACTTCTATTTTCAGGGCATCATGGCCTACGGAGATAGTTTACACTGTTTCTAGCTTGCTGACTTTATGGAGATATGCTTTGTGGCCCAGCTTGTGTTCTAACACTGTCTGTCATTGAGAATGCCCTTGGCACTGGAGTAAAAGGTGTATTCAGCTTTCAGAGGATAAAAAGTCATACATATTTACATGTGTATATGTGATACACATATATATGTATTTGTATTACACACTAAGACCCTCTCTTGTTTCTTCCTTCAAAGCCAACTACTTCCATGCTGAATTTTTGTCTAGTTGATATATCAACTTGTTGAAGTCTTCAACTAATTACTGGTTTTTAGTGAAATCTTCCTTTAACTCTATTAGTAGTTGTTTTATATAATTAGCTGGTCCCACATTAGGTGCACATATATGTTTGGAAGTGTGAGTTCTCCTGATGCATTAAGAAATGACCCTCTCTGTCTCACACTTTTTAAATTTTGATGTCACTGATGTCTGATACCTGGTTTGACCAACCCCAGCCTTTTTGTAGGAGATGTTCGCTTAAAATATTGTCTGCCAACCTTTGATTTTGAATCTGTGTTTGTCCTTAATGTTCAAATGTGTTTCCTGTAGGCAACAGAAGGTTGAATTCAATTTTCTAATTTATCCTGCCACTCTGTCTCCTACTTGCTGCATTTAGGCCTCTGATGTTGAAAAAGTTAATGATCAGGGAGTTTAATGCCATCTTTCTGTAGAAGCCTGATGTTTCTAAGATCTATCTTATCTTAAAGTAGTCCTTTAATTCTTGCCAAGATGGTTTTGAATTTATGAAGTTCTGGAGCTGTTGTTTATGCATGAAGTTCTGCATCACGTCCTCAAATCTTAATAAGAGTCTGGCTGGGTAAAGTACTCTTGGTGAGGCATTTATTTCATTGAGTTTTTTTTTTTAATTATACCCCACCATGTCTTTGGACTGACAGGGTCCTGTTTGATAAATATGCTATAAATCTTAAGGACTTTCCTTATTTATAATTTCCTTCACTGATCTTACTGCTTTCAGTATTCTATTTCTATGGCATTAGTCTTTCTGATTAGGATGTGTTTTGAATCTTTTTATTTAGGTCTCTTTCAGAGTGTAGAGAAACCAGCGAATTGTTTCAAGCTTCTTGAATCTGCATGGAAGATTCAACTCTTCAACTCTGGAAACTCCTCAGAGATGATTTGACTAATGCTTCATCAAAATCCTTTCCCTGGGTCTCCGAGACTATAAGGATTCTTGTGTTGTACCTCTTGAATTCATCACAGAGTTTCCTTGCCTGCTGCTCATTTATTCTCAGGTTTCTTTCCACCTTCCACTGTTGTCTGAAAGTTTTCTGCAACTCATCTTGGAGTTTACTAATTCTGTCCTCAGCTGCTATTACTCTGTTTTCATCTACTATAGTTTTCTCATTTCTGCTCTCATATCTT